CAGATGTCATTTCAAGAGAACTAACCGTCTCAGATGTCATTTCTAGATGACTAACCGTCTCAGATGTCATTTCTAGATGACTAACCGTCTCAGATGTCATTTCTAGATGACTAACCGTCTCAGATGTCACTTCAAGAGAACTAACCCTCTCAGATGTCACTTCAAGAGAACTAACCGTCTCAGATGTCATTTCAAGTTGACTAACCGTCTCAGATGTCAATTCAAGAGAACTAACCGTCTCAGATGTCACTTCAAGATGACTAACCGTCTCAGATGTCACTTCAAGAGAACTAACCCTCTCAGATGTCACTTCAAGAGAACTAACCGTCTCAGATGTCACTTCAAGAGAACTAACCGTCTCAGATGTCATTTCAAGTTGACTAACCGTCTCAGATGTCACTTCAAGAGAACTAACCGTCTCAGATGTCATTTCAAGAGAACTAACCGTCTCAGATGTCAATTCAAGAGAACTAACCGTCTCAGATGTCACTTCAAGTTGACTAAACGTCTAAGATGTCACTTCTTGTGGACTAACCATCCGACATGCCACTTCAAGTGAACTACACATCTGTCGTGCCATTTCTAGATGACTAACCGTCTCAGATGTCATTTCTTGTGGACTAACAGTCTCAGATGTCATTTCTAGTGAACTACCCATCTGTCGTGCCATTTCTAGATGACTAACCGTCTCAGATGTCATTTCTTGTGGACTAACAGTCTCAGATGTCATTTCTAGTGAACTACCCATCTGTCGTGCCATTTCTAGATGACTAACCGTCTCAGATGTCATTTCAAGTTGACTAACCGTCTCAGATGTCACTTCAAGTTGACTAACCGTCTCAGATGTCATTTCAAGTTGACTAACAGTCTCAGATGTCATTTCTAGTGAACTACCCATCTTCAGATGTCATTTCTAGATGACTAACCGTCTCAGATGTCACTTCTAGTTGACTAACCGTCTCAGATGTCACTTCTAGTAGACTAACCGTCTCAGATGTCACTTCAAGTTGACTAACCGTCTCAGATGTCATTTCAAGTTGACTAACCGTCTCAGATGTCATTTCTAGTGGACTAACCGTCTCACATGTCAATTCAAGAGAACTAACCCTCTCAGATGTCATTTCTAGTAGACTAACCGTCTCAGATGCCACTTCTTGTGGACTAACCATCTCAGATGTCACTTCTTGTGGACTAACCAACCGACTTCCCGTCTGTCGTGCCATTTCTAGATGACTATTCGTCTCAGATGTTATTTCTATTAGACTAACCATCTCAGATGTCACTTATAGCGGACTACTCATCTATTTCTAAAGAAAAATTACTTCTGAGGTTGTCCATCAATATTTAAATTTTGGTACTTTTTCAATAAGAGTAGATATTCATCGATGGATTTACCCGTGGTCAAAACTTAAAAAGGATCTCTCTTATATTTTCCGATTATTCAACAAAACAAAGTCATAATTGAAAAACGCTTAAATTGGTTTTAAGATGCAATGTTTTTAAATTTTATACTTATCTCCCTTTAAACTACTGTACATAACTTACTGAACGATGGATCGGTTTCTAATTTGATTGGATATTTCGGCTTCCCGCCGCCACATGCACCATCGCCCTTCAACGCAATCGTGTGGTCATTTCTTAGTACTGTTGAAAATTCACCATCAGTTCCGAATTTAATCCATTCATTCTGGAAAACAATTTTATTTTATATAATTATATTAATGTTAATAGATGAATAAAATAAAAACAGTAGTTTGCAGATAGAGCACGAACTCGCACCCTGTCATTTTTAAGCTAAGATCATTGCTGGGAATCAATTAAGAACCAATGTATCATCTTTGCATTGCTTACCTGATTTGTTAGAATTCGCATTTCCACAAAATTCACGATTCGTTGCAAAACGCGATTCGTTGCCATTTGTAATTCGTTACAATATGTGCTTTTTTCAATTCGTTATTCGTTGCCATTCATGTTCGTTACAATTCATGATTCGTTACAATTCATGATTCGTTACAATTCACGATTCGTTACAATTGATGATTTGTTACATTTTTGATTCATTATAGTTCAGGATTCGTTACAATGCACGATTCGTTAGAATGTACGATTCGTTACAATTAATGATTAGTTTCAAATGATTCGATTCAAATCGTGATTCATTACATTACGCGTTTCGTTACGCGTCATCGCTCGTTACAATACATTTGCATGAAGCGCCATTAGCCTACTCTCTTTCAAGTTCCAACCGTCGGGGGTTCTTTAACATGCCTGTAGTACACGACCCTCGGTTTATTGTTCCATCCAAACGACTAGACACTTTTGCCGAGATAAAGCCTTGACTTCGGGTTAGTGAAAAACCGCGGCTCCGCCAAAACTTTTTAAAAAGATAAAAAAAAGTTACATACCATTCCACTAAATATAAGACCAGTATCAGCTACGCTCATGCCAGCTACCCCTTTGTAATCACAGCTTGATGTATATCCTGAGCACGATTGTACCCAACCATACCTAACTACCTTTCCCTGGATTTGAGTAGTGAAGTTAGAATCCGTTTCAATGATAGTCATCGTCTGTATAAAAAAATAAACATTTAGACTTCATTTTTGTCTGAAATCATGCTACTAATTTTTTTTCACATTTTGAGAAAGTTTTTGAATAAAACGTGTACTATGCGTTAGAAATAACGACAAATAGATGGACATAATTCATTAATATTCAGAGCATACCAGTAGTATACCAGCTTAAAAATAATGCAAATTGCAACTTACGGCTGTGTCTTGTGACTGTTGCTTTTAGTAGTCCCTATTGACTTACGGCTGTGTCTTGTGACCACAGCTTTTACTTTTAGTAGTGCCTATTGACTTACGGCTGTGTCTTGTGACTGTTGCTTTTAGTAGTCCCTATTGACTTACGGCTGTGTCTTGTGACTGTTGCTTTTAGTAGTCCCTATTGACTTACGGCTGTTTCTTGTGACAGTTGCTTTTAGTAGTCCCTTTTGACATACGGCTGTGTCTTGTGACCACAGCTTTTACTTTTAGTAGTCCCTATTGACTTACGGCTGTGTCTTGTGACTGTTGCTTTTAGTACTCCCTATTGAATTACGACTGTGTCTTGTGACTGTTGCTTTTAGTAGTCCCTATTGACATACGGCTGTGTCTTGTGACCACAGCTTTTACTTTTAGTAGTCCCTATTGACTTACGGCTGTGTCTTGTGACTGTTGCTTTTAGTAGTCCCTTTTGACTTACGGCTGTGTCTTGTGACCACAGCTTTTACTTTTAGTAGTCCCTTTTGACTTACGGCTGTGTCTTGTGACTGTTGCTTTTAGTAGTTCCCTTGACTTACGGCTGTGTCTTGTGACTGTTGCTTTTAGTAGTCCCTATTGGTTTACGACTGTGTCTTGTGACTGTTGCTTTTAGTACTCCCTATTGACATACGGCTGTGTCTTGTGACCACAGCTTTTACTTTTAGTAGTCCCTATTGACATACGGCTGTGTCTTGTGACTGTTGCTTTTAGTACTCCCTATTGACTTACGGCTGTGTCTTGTGACTGTTGCTTTTAGTAGTCCCTATTGACATACGGCTGTGTCTTGTGACTGTTGCTTTTAGTAGCCCCTATTGACATACGGCTGTGTCTTGTGACCACAGCTTTTACTTTTAGTAGTCCTTATTGACATACGGCTGTGTCTTGTGACCACAGCTTTTACTTTTAGTAGTCCCTATTGACATACGGCTGTGTCTTGTGACTGTTGCTTTTAGTAGTCCCTTTTGACTTACGGCTGTGTCTTGTGACTGTTGCTTTTAGTAGTCCCTATTGACTTACGGCTGTCTTGTGACTGTTGCTTTTAGTAGTCCCTATTGACTTACGGCTGTGTCTTGTGACTGTTGCTTTTAGTAGTCCCTTGTGACTTACGGCTGTGTCTTGTGACTGTTGCTTTTAGTAGTCCCTATTGACATACGGCTGTGTCTTGTGACCACAGCTTTTACTTTTAGTAGTCCCTATTGACTTACGGCTGTGTCTTGTGACTGTTGCTTTTAGTAGTCCCTTTTGACTTACGGCTGTGTCTTGTGACCACAGCTTTTACTAGTCCCTATTGACATACGGCTGTGTCTTGTGACCACAGCTTTTACTTTTAGTAGTCCCTATTGACTTACGACTGTGTCTTGTGACCACAGCGTTTAGCCGATTTGTGATTTTCTGTTTTGACTTGTGACTGTTGCTTTCAGTAGCCGATTGGTCATTTTCTGCTGTGACGGCAGCTCAGTAGCTCCTTAATGAAACAAGATTTTTGTAGTTTATCGTGGTTTAACTTACCCTTATATCTACACCAATTTTGTTATATAGTGTTCGACCTGAATTTTCATGTTCGTAAGTTTCCATAGAGCATGATGTGCCATCTGTATAGCGATTGTTTTGGTACATGAAGAGGTTTGTTTCAAATAATGTCAGATATTCGGACGGAGTTGGTGTATTCATGCCTTTACAATAAATCTTTACCGGTCTATAGTTGTATATCGCAGGGTATAGCCAGTATTCGCCGTCTGTGGTGTAGTTAGGATCACATAGTTTTACTTGGGCACACGACTGTACATCTGTTAAAAAATATGATAAAATCAGACTAAAGAGCAGGACTGCAGAACCTCGTCTTATACCTTGACTGCAATAGCTATTTTTCTTGTAACCCATATTTTGCATAAAGTTTGATATCTATTCATATCTGAACTATTAACGAGTCTGTCAACATATTACCGGATATCTTTTGATGTTCCTGTGTCGCACACAGTGCCACAAAAACAGCCTAGGAACGGATTGGGCCAGATTTCTAGAACGTAGTTTAAAAATTTCCTTTGGGTTGTCAGCTCCCAAAAATGTGGAAAAATTAGGGGACATACTAACTCAATGGGGACAACTCTGTAGAGACGTCATAGCTGCAAGCCTTTTACGAAACGTCTAGGAGGGTTGCGACAATTTATTGATTTGGTGCATTCTGACACATATACCCGGCCACTCTTGTATTGGCTATGAAGTTGTTATTCAAATTTATACTTACAACTCAAATAATATGTGGAGCCTTGCTTCGGAATCAAACTGGTAGCTAAAGCAGTAGGTGTTCGTGGATGGACCAGGCAGGTTTCCGTCAACTTGTCATAAAAGAATGATGTTTTATCAGCAAGTGTAGTCAGCATACCACATCCACTGACGCTTTTAATATTCTGAATTACAGAAACTCCTGGTAGTGTTACATTGCTCATATATACCAGAAAATATACCTCTGATATCATTCCGTCTTATATTAACAGCTTTGCTTTACGTTCTCCGCTAATATGACCGTTTTCAAACTTATTGATAACAAATGAGACACGTTCAGTAGAAAACATAACTTGTTAGGCCAACGAGTAGTTTGCTAACTGAAGACAGAACAGTCTCAGTCGACCAAATACGCCATGAAAGATAGATTCTGTCGAATCCAATCATGCATAAGTTTTGAGACAAAAATCCCATGGTTATTAAATACGTCTCGAATGTAAGCTCCGTTGACACAAAGATATTATCATGCACCGAATGAAATGGTTACATATTTGGCCCATGAGAATCACGGTGTATATTATATGCAACGTAATGGGCTATATCAGAGGTTTTCAATCCATTAGCTCTTTCTCTTAGGTTTCCTCTGTATTCTTTTTCATGTTGGAGATTATAGCTAGACTGAATAGATGGCCTGATATTATAACTGTCCAAAAAATTCATACTAAACAATTTAGGAACCACCACCCCCAACCTCCGCTCTCATCACTAAAAAATAAGTCAAACTTAGCCTATTCCGGAAAATTGTCCTTGGTTGTAATCCCCTGGGATAGATTGACAAAATAAATATAAATAGGACGTCTTGTCATTCTGTTAGTCGATGATGATTTTAATTCAGAACCCGCCAAGATAACGTTCGATCACAGCCTTAGTAGAACCGTCTGGATATTTTTTAATTTAATATTAAAGTTTGAACTCAAAATTTTTATGGGAGATTAAGCTCTTTTTGTTTAATTCTATCATCTTCATTTGCTCATTCAGGTGCAGCAAAGTATTTTATTTTATTTCTTTTGTTTCGTGGTTCTTTATAGTTAAATATTCCTCAGATGAAACGCTTCGTTCTAGTTCATGTTAACCTACGGTACATTTTTAGTGAGTCAAGTGAACTTTTGTCTGTGATCTGATCATTCATGCATAGAACTTAGCTTATTGAACGCAAGACTGGTTGTTAGAACTAATACCGACTCCTTCTGAGAATATGGTCTGTTAAAAATTGTTCAATATTTCATAACTAAAGCGAAGTTTTGAAACAGACCATTGGGCACAAGTTAATTCTTTGGAACGAAGAATGTTACCAGACCATTTGAACAAAGAAAGATAAATATAGTTGATCGCGTTCACATAAGCAAATTCGGTATACGATAGGGGGGCAAAAAATCTAAGGTTGCCCGAATTTCTAACCTAGTTATGAGATTTTTGCCCGAAAAGCTTGCTTGTGGGGCTGCGGGACCAAATTACAATGTGCCCTTATTAATATGACCAAAATACTTTGTGCCGGTATTATTGTGACAAAAATACTTTGTGCCCTTATTACTGTTACCAAAATACTTTGTGCCCGTATTACTGTGACCAAAATACTTTGTGCCCGTATTACTGTGACCAAAATACTCTGTGCCCGTATTACTGTGATCAAAATACCTTGTTCCTTTTTTTAAATGGCTTCAGAATGTCAGTGTGAATAATTCTTTAATCTTTACTTAATTATAATTAATCCAAGTTTTTATATCATATTAAATTTTCACAGTACCCGGATGAGCTGCGACGGGAGACTTTCTTATCCTCGTAGAAGACAGAAGTGTGGGTGTCAAAGACTGGAAATAAATAGGAATTTACAAAAATGGTTTCATTCTCGCTCAATAGTTGAAATCTAAATCAGATAAAATTCTTTTACTACTTATGAAATAAAAAATCAATATCTAAAATTTAATCAAATCTATCAAAACACCAAGTAAAAGTCGGGAAATTCGACAAAATCAATGAGGTAGACATGAAATGAGTCCAATACACATACTGGATCATTCGTTGGCAGGCTATGTTCGGTATTAGAGCGTCAATAGGCAAAATAAATCAATAAACACAAACTGGTTCTGTGGCCGAATCATGTGATGGCTCTGAAAATAATCAAGAAAAAGTATATCAAAAACTATAAATATTATTTACCTGTCGACTAGGTAATGGTGAGTTTAAAAATTATAAATATTATGTTTATTTTATGAGGGACTATCGCTTTAAACTACTGTAAATAACTTACTGAACGATGGATCGATTTCTAATTTGATTGGATATTTCGGCTTCCCACCGCCACATGCACCATCGCCCTGCAATATAATCTGGTGGTCATTTCTCACTACTGTTGAAAATATACCATCAGTTCCGAATTTAATCCATTCATTCTGAAAAACAATTTTTTTATTATAATCATATTGTTTAGTGAAAGCGAGATACAAAATTGATATGTATTTGATCTAACGGAGTCAATTTTCGGCCATTTTAACATACAATATTTCAGTATTAACAACATCAACAGACTCGTTTAATAAGTTATTTATGTATTACAATAAAGAGGTTTTTTAAAACTGATTATGTGTATAGGAGAAGCTGATGTAATTCATTTGCAAGAACAACAGATGTCGGATTGAAAATTGGAATGTTGCAGATCGATGCTATCCGAAAAAAGTTAACTTTTTTAGAAACCCTCTTTACAATTCCTTTAAGTTAATGAAAGTATTGAAAAAGTTACCTACCAACCGACTAAATATAAAACCAGTATCAGTTACGGTCATGGCGGCCACTCCATTATGATAACAGGTAGATGTATATCCTGAGCACGCGTGAACCCAACCATACCTCATAACCTCTCCTTCTATTTGATCAGTAAAGTTAGAATCTGTTTCAATGATAGTCATCGTCTGTATAAAATAAAATAACCATTTAGACTTCATTTTTGTCTGAAATCATAAGTCATTAATGCTATTGAAAGCTGTCGCCACAAGCTCTCATGGACATTTGTCATTAAGGGGCTATTTAGAGCTGTGGTTTGATATTAGTCATAGTGAAATACAACTTGTGACCACAGCTTCAGTAGCCCCCTTATGACTAACGGTTGCAGCTTTAGACGAGAGCTTTCAGTAGCCCCCTTGTGACTTATGGAAGCAGCTCTTGATGGCAGTCTTCTTATAGTCGTCCCCTTTAGACTAACAGATGTAGCTTGTGACGGCAGTTGCAAATAGTCCCCTTTTAACTAACGGGTGCAGCTTGTGACGGCAGTTGCAAATAGTCCCCTTTTAACTAACGGATGCAGCTTGTGACGGCAGCTGCCAATAGTTCCCTTTTTACGAACGGTTGCAGCTTGTGACGGCAGCTGCAAATAGTCCCCTTTTAACTAACGGATGCAGCTTGTGACGGATGGCAGCCTAAGCAGTACCCTTAAGACTTACGTATCCAGCTGGGTTCCCTTTTGACTAATAGATGCGGCACACAGTAGTTTAGAAGCTTCTACTGACTTATGACTGCAGCTTGAGACTTTTAGAAGCCTTACGATGGCAGCCTTCAGTAGATGGTGACTTACGGCTGTGGCTTGTAACGGCCTCCTAATGAGTTACGGCTGTGGCTTGTACGGCTAGTGACTGACGACGTCAGCCTTCAGTAGATCCATTATACAACTCACGTGACTTGATGACTGTAATTAATCCAGATTTTTTGGAGTTCATCTTGGTTTAACTTACCTTTATATCGACACCAATTTTGGAATAATCTGTTCGACCTGAATTTTCATGGTTATAAGATTCCGAAGAGCATGATGTACCATCTATATAGCGATGATTTGAGAATGCGAAGAAGTTTGGAGAATGTAATGTCAGATATTCGGACGGAGTTGGTGTATTCATGCCTTTACAATAAATCTTTACTGGTCTATAGTTGTATATTGCAGGGTATAGCCAGTATTCGCCGTCTGTGGTGTAGTTAGGATCACATAATTGTACCCGGGCACACGACTGTAGGTCTACATCTGTTAAAAAAAATATCGTAGTATCAGACTAAAGGGCGGGGCCGTAGGAATCGGGGCAGCCCCCTCCCCCACCTCCCCCGCAGCCCCAAAAGCAAGTTTTTCGGGCAAAATTTCTCATAACTAGGTTAGAGACTCGGGCAATCTCATATATCGCGCCCCTCTCGGACGTAAACCTGGCTCTGCCACTGATAAGAAAGGAACTACAAGGATAAAAACTTAGGTTCACATAGGATCATTGGACAAATCTCTTGGCATTGATTTCTCCGGATAATCCGTACCCAATTACAGCTGCGTCGACTGGAGTAATGAGAAAAGATGATGCCGACCAAGATTATAGCCCACAAACATCATTTGTTCGAAATTAACAAACAAATGATATCATGATACAGTTACAGGGTATATTTGATGTTATCTTCTGTGCGATATGCCTGCATGTTCTTGTGCAGGTGTTTGGTATCAATTGGAATTCTTGGAGCAATTGGAGAATATTTCTATGGCTCTTTGGGGTGAATTTGTTTTAATTCATTATCTTTTATACCTCACCCTGTCGTGGCAGTTATTAAAATTACCCCAAACTTTCGTTCCGTTTTTTATTATCCACTTTTGTTGGGGTCTATAGACCGGTCTCATGGACATTTATCATATAATAACACCACCAGTCAATCACATTTTCTTGTCTGTCCAACGATGGGACTTCGTGACGTGAACAAGGTGTATTCCGCTAAGCATTAGACACACTTTTTGTTCGCGACACAATATCCCAGCATTGGACACGATAAAAATATAATAGTCTCACGGTGTCATCAAACGGACGAATGTTCAAGAGCGACACTTTTATACTCTAACTGAAGTGGCTAAATAAAAGATAAAAACTAATAAAAGCGGAACGAATGTTTGGTCTAACCTATCTGAAGTGGCCAAATAATGAAATAAATAATAAATTTTTGGGCAAAAACGTATAAAAAACGTTAAAATGAAGAGTGGGGTGATTAGGGTTGCAAACTATTTTTCTAGTACCACCCCCACCCCCGCTTTACCTTCACCTGTGACACCACTGTCAGATTCACTAGGTAGTTTTAATTCATAATTCAAATTTATACTTACAACTCGAATAATATGTGGAGCCTTGCTTCGGAATCAAACTGGTAGCTAAAGCAGTAGGTGTTCGTGGATGGACCAGGCAGGTTTCCGTCAACTTGTCATAAAAGAATGATATTTTATCAGCAAGTGTAGTCAGCATACCACATCCACTGACGCTTTTAATATTCTGAATTACAGAAACTCCTGGTAGTGTTACATTGCTCATATATACCAGAAAATATACCTCTGATATCATTCCGTCTAGTTTTTACAGCCTTGCGACCCTTTTGACTTCCATAAAATTTTACTTAACGTTTTAATTGGCCGTCTGAGACCTTTTGATCCTAAGAGACCAGTTAAGTAGAGAAAACCTACGTAGTAGTTTGTTAACTAAGGCAGAACAGTCTCAGTAGACTGAACACGTTATGAAAAGTGCATTCTGTGAAATCCAATCATGCAAAAATTTCCGTGGTTATTCAGTACGTCTCACTCGTTGACACAGCGATCAGTGGCAGCTGCAGCCTGTCGAGTCCAGGGGTACAAATAGGGGAGAGACTGACTCAAAGTCAAGGCCGAATTTAAAATAGTATGTGTAAACCTCATGTCGCTAGCCTCTCATGGAGTGTCTGAGAGGGTTTACCCACGAACATTTTCAAAATATTCAGACACATATTTTTGGGGAAACGTATAAGAACCATATCTTCAAATTTGTCAAAAATAAAGTAGGGGTGCACCTGTGCCCCTAGTGGCGCAGTGACTGACAGCGATATTCACATGCGTCGAATGGAATATTACATATTTGGCGCTTGCGAAGCAAGGATTTGCCATTTTCATCATTTGAGTTTATAATAAAAGGCATATGAACCTATCATTGGCTCAATTTTCTATTCCAGTATATTCGCTTTCTATTAAATTTACTTTTCTCCCGTCGCCCATGAAAATTTTACATGATCTACTTTTTCCATAATAATATATAATTATTCAGTTCATGGCCCAGGTTCCGTTTGATCGCAGCCTTAGAGCCTTCAGGATACTTTTACATTTGATATGATAGTTTGAACACGTGTTATTTTGTATGGGAGATTAAGCTCTTTTTGTTTAATTTTATCGTCTTCATTTGCTCATTCAGGTACAGCAAAGTATCTTATTTTATTTCTTTTGATTCGTTTTGGTTCGTGGTTCTTTGTAGTTAAATACTCCTCAGATGAAGCGATTCTCTCTAGTCCGTGGTTTCTATGGTAGAGTTGGGCTATATACCATATTATCGAAAAAAACGGTATGAGAAAAAAAAACAGACGATACTATATGGCATTTTTCCTATACCCGTATACCTAGAAACTACGATATCGTGAGATTTAAGCAGAGCTAAACGTTTAAACATAGACCATCATTTTAGGATCAATTTTCGAAACACTTTCTGGATTATATTTTATAAAATGGGCCAAAATGACCGTTTAGAAACCATTTATAAATTATGTAATATAGCTCCTTAAAGGCTTGCCATAAGACAACTACTTTTTATTACCCTGGGCTATGAACTTTCATTTGAATCACAAGTAAGCCATTTGGTGATGTGGCTTATTGTTAAAATTGCGTCAAAATTCTGAAATACGACCTTTTTCAGCTCATCAATTCCTTTCCTACAATGTATTAGTTCTTCGAGAGCTGTGCATGTTGTTTTCTTTTTGTGTTACAGCACGTCTATCTGACATTTTGGTAAATGCTAGAGCTTGATCAGGGGACGTTTATAGAAACTTTTCCGCACCTCAATTTTTATCAGGGCTCGAAGTCCGGCAGTGGTTTAGTGGTGACCTATTTGAACTTCACGTCAGTTTTCCAATATAAAACAATTTGTTTAACTATTTTGTAATCCTCATTCTTTCCCAGAATGAATCAATACAACCAGTTTTTTGTCGAATTTTTATGAAGTCTTGTCATATAGTAGTAGTATATTTTCCAAAAACGCAGCAGTATGCAAAAGGTCGCAATTGTTAACTCTGTTGTTCTGGAATTTCACGACAAATCCGGCCTTACTCCTTCCTCAGACATAATAGACAGATGGGATATCATAACAATCGGGCCAGACCTATAATGTCACATTTTTGGGAGTTGCTTCGACCCATGATTTTAATAATTTTTACCATGTTAAAAGACAAATTTCGCATAAAGTTTGGTATCTATACAAAGCTGGACCATTAATGAGTCTATCAAGATATTGCCTTGTGTTTCAAGCATGGTGACCATTCTCAAAAACTAACAACCCCAAGTGGGTCCCCACTATCTATCTGATAGTGCGTCTCTCCCAAACGATATTTTATATTTTTAGGCCGGTATCCCACTGGCATATCACGTCCAAGGAACAGAAAGGACCAGATTTGTCGAGTAATATTGTAATATTCAACCATCAGTTAAGAATTAAAATCGATGGTAGTTTGCAATAAATACAGGAATAGGTTAACTACTTGCTTCAAACGCAAAATTCACTATCGTGGTTAACAGGATCTAAGATAGGCAATAAATCAGAATGATAACTGAAGTATTGTTTGTAATGATGTCAAGAAATGTAACGATTTTAGATAATTCTACTGTCCATAACATCAAATCAACATCGAGCTGTGCTTCTCTTACAACAGCTGCCAAAAAAACATCGTTCATTTACAATGGTAATAACAACCAGTGTACGATGAATCCAACAGCTAGTAATATAATGTCGTCTGGTGATTCTGTGTATTTTGTTGGTAAAGGTAAGCGAGATTTATACATACTCTTTTGGCAACTTCATTTTGTATTACCTCGACTTTTGAATTTTGAAAAAACTGAAATATTTCAACCAAGCGTTCAATTCACATGGAAAGTCTTAAGTAAGGTTTTAAATGTGATTTGAAGGCTTTGCTGAAATATTAGACCTTTTTAAGAAATTCGACTTAAAAAGTCGAGGAAGAGATTCAAAATGGTTGTGAACTACGCTCATGTGTGTTATTTCCATGTATTCAACACCATATGCAACACAGTACTGTATCTTATTTTTACAACACTCGGTATGCAGCGTATATTGGGAGTGATTAAACGAGAGCGATTCGTTAGTGAAAGGATTAAAAGATGTTGCCTTTGACTTACAAAATACTTCAAACGAAAGAGGAAAAGTTTTGACCATCAAAATTGGGTTGTGACCACGTAAGAGGATATCACAGTCCCGTTCTAATGATGTTACTTTTAAGCGTATCGTGAAGGACACATTTCTTGAAAAAAAAATAACGAATTGTGGGATAGCCAAGTAGAGCAATATCACATTTTTTTGTTTGGTTTCGATATCCTACAATTCGTCGCTGGGCTTTTAGCAACCTTATGTTTTACTCAAGGCCTGTAAACATAATATTATATTCTCTAATCATAAGTTTGATAATGATGATGTTTTTTTCCAGAAACATGCAAGTTTCAAGAGGAAACGAGAAATGGTTCAGCGTATGGGTTAAACAGATTTTATGTGGGCACTGAAAACCTAACCCTGTGTAGACAGAACTGCTACACGCCATGTACATGGTGGGTACACGTGGATTATTTATGTAGCTTTTATCGCAGTCCAACAATTGCTTTTAACATTGAAATCACGACACCCGAGGAGTGCAAAGCTTTTTGTGCAAGTGAAAAAAAGTGTGTTACTGCCTCGATAATTCTTTCGGGTGGTCCGTGTATTTTGTATGATACAAAACAAACACAATTTTACGAAGAGTCGTCACCACGAACAGTTTACCATAAGATTAACATTAATTGTGGCTAATATACCAATTTCTCATTATAATTAAATAGAATATTACTATTATATTTTCTTTCGTTCGTTTATAAAGGGTGAAGATAGCAAATTTAGGAACTAACAGTCAGATGTAATGCTCAGTCTATTTTTAAAAGGTTCTCGAAAATCTAACATACGAAACTACGTAGAGTGTTTACATGGAAATAACACGCCCGAACGTAGTTGACAACCATTTTGAATCTCTTGCTTCACTTAAGAAGTTGAATTTTGAATATTTCAACAAAGCCTTCAAATCACAGTTCAAGGTTAAGAAATGTTTTTTAAGGTAATTGCAGGCTTTGTTGAATGATTGTATCCCTTTTTAAAATTCGACTTATTAAGTCGGGGAAGAGATTCAAAATGGCTGTGAACTACATTCGTGTGTGTTATTTCCATGTAAGAACTATACGTACTTTTGTATGGGAAATGTACATCATGATATCGACCAACAGATTGGTCTTTTTTGACTTTTTGAAAGATGACTGATAGGCTGAAGTAACGCCATCCTCAAAAGGCCAAGCTATCACGAACGTATACCAATATGACTGCAATAACCACCTTTCTTGAATCACGGAATAGCTTTTTGATTGGACAGAAAGACAACGAATACTATGCCTTATTGTTTACAGATTTTCTGTCTGGGACTCTGATTGGCTGTATTCGCTAACGTAGAATCCAACCAAATCGCTGCATTTACAACTTCCGTGAGATAATACAGTATACTCTGTGTAATCCGACATACACTGATACCGTAAAACAATGTCGGATTAGCGAGAGTTTCATGTATGCAAAATATGTATATTACTCTCCTTGGCAACCTATTTTCATGCTTACATGATTTTAATTGTATCTAATGATTAGGCATTGGCGGTTATTTCTTAGCTGTTAAAAAAACGGCGAATTTGAATTTTAATTAAAATATATCGAATTCTGAATATGTGTTTATCGATCACGTGTTGTAATTACAGCCGTTGTTTTTATCTCTTACTTTTTGAGTGTCTGAAAAATATTTTTTTGCTTCAAGAACAATTTAAATGTTTTTTTTCAATTTTAATTACATTAATATATCGTTGAAACTCCTTTTTAATAAGATGGTAAATCAATTAATTGGCGTCGTTTATTGTACTCAGTTCACTAGAATTAGAACGTGGGTCATTTACCGAGTAAAATATATCGTCTGCTCCAATCTCGTATCTCCAAGACAACCAGATCCGTAGCCAGCGGAGCTGTTAAGTCGTAGTAATCGAATTCTGATATTGCCCATAAGCTGACAGAAATGGCCGCTTCAGAGACTGAAAATCCGAATGCCGAAAATGACCACAGTCATAACCCGAGACGCAAGGATGCAAAGGGTTTCGGCAAATAACTGCCACTACATTCCCATACAAACAAGTTTTGCAGAAATTAGCAGCCAACCGCTAGTTTCCTGCACATGAAACGGAGTGAGACGAAATACAGGCATGGGTATAATTGTGGTCCGATTTGGCTGAGATGAATTCACTCCCTTGGAAATGAAAAATAAGACTTTTGATTTATTTTCCTGGACCCAAATATTGATATTTCAGAAAAAATTGAAGAGTCATTCACTTTCAGACGGCAAGAAGTATCAGGCAAATTTTAGAAAAATGGAATGGGTCCAATTATATCGGACAGGCTACTAACAGATGCCTATTCACGGGTGCGATCCCACTACTGCGCGACATGGGGACTTTTGCCTGCTGCGTTTCCACCCTGGGCTGATTCGTCCCTCCTAAGACAACCTGGTAACTCTCGGCTCCCCGAGTGAGACCATATTGATGCAGGGCTGGGTCGGCTTAATTGCTTTATTGTGGTCCGATTTTATGGCTGAGATGAATTGATTCCCTTGAACATGAGAGTTTAGTCTTACGATTTAAGAAGACCTTGCATTACATACCTGGTATTTTGAACATCATATAGAAATGTTGCTTTAACGTATAAATTGACGTGGAAGGAAGGTACAAACACCACATCGCCAACCCTAGCACATCTCGTTGTTTCGGTTTATATATATATAATAAAAAAGAGAAAAGGGTACGTTTCAAATTCAGTGCTCCCAGTTGTTTTCATTAAAGAGACAGACGATAATCGTTTAACTCAGTGATATATGCATGGGTCTCAAGTTTTTTGCTTACCATCTCCTTAAATTCTTAAAGAGATTATCAGTGGTTGATTTGGGTCTTAAATATATGTTAATAGTCTACAGAAGTACCAGAAATATACGAGAATAGCATAATTCCTTCAAAAATACCTCAAACTAGGACTTTAACCTTCATTTTCTATATAAGGCATCAGCATCATATCAAGAAAAGACGACTCGTCTTTTTAACTTTCAAACGCGGATAATTCTAGACAAACGGGGATTTGAAGACTCATATTTCGACGGTGAGCTGTGAACACTGTGGCTGATTCGTCTGAAAACTTTTGAGACTAAGGTACAATTGGTCCAAAAAAATGGCAAACTTGTCCCTTTAAGTAAAATCAAATGATGATGTAGACGGAATAGGTCACTTTACACTCAATCTTAATAACACCATAAAAGTAATTAAAGTATTACATAAAAACTGCAGACCGAAGTGGCATACGATACTACATATACAAATAACTCACAACGAAAGTCTCTACCTCGACTTAATCAATGGAATTTTTTTTTTTTTTTTTTTTTCAAAAAAAGACCTTAAATCTTTCAAAGCCTTAAAATCAAATGTAAATTGAATGTTTTCAAAAATTCGAATCGAAAATGTTTGTGAACTACGTTCGTGTGTGTTATTTCAAACCATACGTAGTTTCTCAGTGGCTTCTTTTGTACCAACCGCATACCGAAGTCGCTAATGTGGTCGTGATTCACTGTACTTATAAATATCTTCTTTTGTTCAAATGGTCTGGTAACACTCTTCGTTCCAAAGAATTAACTTGTGCCCAATGGTCTGTTTCAAAACTTCCCTTTGGTTATGAAATATTGAACAATTTTTAACAGACCATATTCTCAGAAGGAGTCGGTATTAGTTCTAACAACCAGTCTTGCGTTCAATAAGCTAAGTTCTATGCATGAATGATCAGATCACAGACAAAAGTTCACTTGACTCACTAAAAATGTACCGTAGGTTAACATGAACTAGAACGAAGCGTTTCATCTGAGGAATATTTAACTATAAAGAACCACGAAACAAAAGAAATAAAATAAGATACTTTGCTGCACCTGAATGAGCAAATGAAGATGATAAAATTAACCAAAAAAAAGTTAAATCTCCAGTAAAAAATATTTTGTGTTCAAACTATAATATTAAATTAAAAAATATCCAGACGGCTCTACTAAGGCTGTGATCGAACGTTATCTTGGCGGGTTCTGAATTAAAATCATTATCAACTAACACAATGAAAAGATGTCTCATTCATATTTATTTATGTCGATCTAGCATTAGTGACTGTGCGGTGCTGAATTGTTTAGCATGACTTTTTTGGACAATCATAATTTCAGTCCATCTATTCAGTCAGGCTATAAACTCCATCATGCAAAAGAATACCGAAATATTAAGGATTTATATAACAAGAATCCTGGAAGGGCTAATAGATCGAAATCCTCTGATATAGCCCATTACGTTGCATATAATATACACCGTGGTTCTCATGGGCCAAATATGTAACCATTTCATTCGGTGCATGATAATATCTTTGTGTCAACGGAGCTTACATTCGAGACGTATTTAATAACCATGGGATTTTTGTCTCAAAACTTATGCATGATTGGATTCGACAGAATCTATCTTTCATGGCGTATTTAGTCTACTGAGACTGTTCTGTCTTCAGTTAGCAAACTACTCGTTGGCCTAGCAAGTTGGTTTTCTACTGAACGTGTTTCATTTGTTATCAATAGGTCACTGACGACCGAAAACGGTTTGAAACATTTATAAAAGCAGAAAACGTAACGCAAGGCTGTAAATATAAGACGAAATGATATCAGAGGTATATTTTCTGGTATATATGAGCAATGTAACACTACCAGGAGTTTCTGTAATTCAGAATATTAAAAGCGCCAGTGGATGTGGTATGCTGACTACACTTGCTGATAAAATATCATTCTTTTATGACAAGTTGACGGAAACCTGCCTGGTCCATCCACGAACACCTACTGCTTTAGCTACCAGTTTGATTTCGAAGCAAGGCTCCACATATTATTTGAGGTGTAAGTATAATTTTTTTATTAAAAAGTGCAAAGCTAATCTGACATTGGCTGCGCCAGTGACGGTACAAGGGGGTGGGTCTGATTGTCAGATTATCAGTGAGTGTAAAATGGTCAAATTGTGTAGGAAATGACCATAAACTGACACGGCCTAACCCAAATCGCGTAGTAAATGACCATAAACTGACACAGCCTAACCCATATCGCACTGTAAATGACCATAAACAGACACGGCCTAACCCAAATTGTGTAGGAAATGACCATAAACTGACAGGCTGGAAGCTACAAAATTTCCAAATCGTGATTGGGATGGATATTATTAAAAAACAATATTGCTCTCACATCCATGAGCAAGCTGCATTAGTTCATCACTGACCACAAATAAATAGGCCTAAATATTCTGATATAATAATAAAATCATATCAATTGATTGTTAGTGTTAGTATGAATGAAAGTACTATAATTAATGTACATGAAGAAACATAGTTGCTGTGATCATAAAATATGTTTTAAAATATTCTTTCGTTTTCAATCACAAATTTGTTGAAGCCTTCGGCGCAACTTTTGTCTCAATTTTTAGGTCTTTTCTGACCCAATTCGGGCAGTTCGTGAATTTTACACCTACCGTTAGACTATGCTTGATATTGACCAGGTGATCGTTTTCTTCTATGGTATTTAAGATAATCAATAAAAAAAATTTCCCCCAAAAAGATCCGCAGGAATATTTTCTTTATGTATATTTTCTATTGCTACCAGACATCTGAACTAGTTTTTGTTTGAGGAGTTTTGTATAACAGTCGGTTAGAGCGTTGGAAATTTTTACTTGATGTCATATGCTTGTTTATGTCGAACAAATGGGGGTTGTGGGTAATAATCTTGGTCGACGTGTGAAAGTCATCTTTTCTCATTTTCCAGTCGACCAAGGTGTAAATGGGTATGGCTAATAAGACTAATACCAAGAGATTTGTCTATGTTCTTATCATGTTGACAAAAGTGGGGTGGGCTATGTTTGTCCCTTAGCCACAATTTTCAGCTCCCTGATTCCCCTTTAGTCTGATACTACGATATTTTTTTAACAGATGTAGACCTACAGTCGTGTGCCCGGGTACAATTATGTGACCCTAACTACAACACAGACGGCGAATACTGGCTATACCCTGCAATATACAACTATAGACCAGTAAAGATTTATTGTAAAGGCATGAATACACCAACTCCGTCCGAATATCTGACATTACAATCTGCAAACTTCGTGATGTACCCAAACCAGCGGTATATAGATGGTACATCATGCTCTTCGGAATCTTATAACCATGAAAATTCAGGTCGAACAACATATTACAAAATTGGTGTAGATGTAAAAGTAAGTTAAACCACGATGAACTACAAAAAAGTTGATTAATTAAAGCTGTCACATACTGCAACTCATTAAGGGGCTATACGTAGGTGCCGTCACAAGTCGCAACAGTAAGTCACTAATGGGTTTGTTTTGAAAGCTACAAGCCACAGCCGTCACAAGACTCAGCAGTAAGGCTTATGGGGGCCACTGAAGGCTATCGTCACAAGTCGCAGCCATAAATCATTTTGAGGCTTGTACATTCTCTGAATTCATGTGCCCATACATTGATCGTTTTAAGTTTAATTTAAAAATCAGTTGCCTAATTTCAGACAAAAAAGTCTAAAGTTACGTTCACACTAGCACGAAATTACTTCCAGGCAGCCATACGAATTCAGGGACTAAAACGTTTTCAGTGCATTGCATTCACACCTACACCGAATTCGGATTTGTGTGCCACTTGATCTTGGTGCTTTTGCGCATGCAAAGAAAACATTGTTACTCTTACTGCACGGAAACAATCATCGCTTTAAAACAATGAAATGGTTGTAGCAGTGATGAAGACACTCTTGTTAATTGAAGTTATCAGTAAATGTTTATTTTTATGTTTATTATACAGACGATGACTATTATTGAAACAGATTCTAACTTCACTCAGCAAATAAGGGGAGAGGTAATGAGGTATGGTTGGGTACAATCGTGCTCAGGATATACATCAAGCTGTGATTACAAAGGAATGGCCGTTATGAGCGTAACTGATACTGGTCTTATACTTAGTGGAATGGTAGGTAACGTTTTCAATACTGTCATTAACTTTAAGAGATTTTAACCATTTACACCATTCCAATTGTTGATCAGACGTCTGTGGCCTCTGCAAAGGATGATATCAGTGTCCACGATGCACATAAAGAGATTAAAAACCTCTTTACAATCCCTTTAAAAGGGATCTTAAACACGATTAAAAACCATATTTCATTAGCTAATATGAATTGTAACGAAATAATGGGGCGTGATTAGGAATGTTCTCCGGAGACCCAGTGGCCATATATGTCGACAATGAAAATGTTGCATATGAAATAAGAAAAGTTGTTTTTATATTTTTTCATATTCCTGAAATTAAATTCGAATAACAATTGAATATTTTTTTTTTTACTTCATGTAATTTCGATTCTGTTAGTCACGTGACTGCCACATGATCTTTCCAAAATGGCGACTTAGTTGAGAATTAAACAAGTGCCAACCAAATCAGGCAATTGCATTTTTTCTCCAAAGTCAGTGTCAAGCTAATTTGGTACAATAAAATAAATTTACGAGAATCACGTAATTCCTTTACAAATTGCTTTCTCTTTCTATGAATGTCTGTTCTATACATCTATATATGACAGAATCTGAAGAAAAGACGAATTGTCTTTTTAACTTTTAGAATAATTCTGCACACACATGGATTTGAAGGCTCAAATTACGAAGGTGTGCTGTGAACACTGTAACCTTATCTTAGCTAGAAAAAATCTCGTTTCTGAGACTAATGGTGCGGGAACACGAGTGGCCTTGGACGGAGATTTTTGTAGCCGACTCAAATCTTGAGTAAAATCTCGCGTGTGCCCGTGTTTCGACGACAAGATTATCGTGTCGCCGACAGGATTTATAATACCAAACAAATTGTCTCCGATAGTTTTATCGTCTGCGAGACAGACCGTCACCATCCAATCAGATTCATTTTCCCTTCAATTGCATGCTCCGCACGTGATTATCGATAAGGTGGAAAACGACCGACTGGAGATTTTTGTCTCCTCGTGTGCCCGTGTCAGTCGTTGAAACTCAAGACAAGACGCTAATCGGCGACAAAAGTCTCCGACCAAGACCGTTCGTGTGCCCACACCTTAAGGTACGATTGGTCAAACCGAAGGCGAACCTGTGCCTTGACGAAATGACCGGATATACATTGCATGAGAAATGGAAACTTAATAAAATTATATATAGGCACAGCTTTATGGAACAACAATCACTGGTTAAAGTTTTATGCAACGTTTGGACGTGTTTCCCCCGTCGTCCTAAGGCGGGGGAAACACGTCGAAAATAAGCAATATATTTAACACTTTGACATGGAAATTATCATTTCTGATAATTTCATTTTTGTTAGCTAAATTTTTTTTTTTTTGTATTTATTTTTTTATTTTTTTTATTTTCTTTTCAATTGTTCTTGCATTAGCGTCCTTTGCCTGCAGTGGCGGAGCCAGGTTTACGTTCCAGGGGGTGAGATATCTGCTGCCGCATCCTGCCCCCCCCCTGTGGCTCCGCCACTGTTTGCCTGCACATGTATGTGATTACGGCTCTGTATTTTGCAAGTTGATTTTAAACTCATAACAGACGAGTTTCTGAACAAGATTTTATTATATAAAATTGTTTGAATTTCAGAATGAATGGATTAAATTCGGAACTGATGGTGAATTTTCAACATTTCTGAGAAATGACCACCAGATTGTATTGAAGGGCGATGGTGAATGCGGCGGCGGAAAGCCGAAATATCCAATCAAATTAGAAATCGATCCATCGTTCAGTAAGTTATTTACAGTAGTTTAAAGCGATAGTCCCTCATAAAATAAACATAATATTTATAATTTTCAAACTCACCATTACCTAGTGTCAAAACAGAATCACTGAATATCACGATGAATACAATAGGCTTCAAATAATTATTAAAAAACGCTAATTATTTTTAGAAGGATTCTGACACCAGGTAAATCGACAGGTAAATAATTTTATAGTTTTTGATATACTCTTTCTTGATTATTTTCAGAGCCATCACATGATTCGGCCACAGAACCAGTTTGTGTTTATTGATTTATTTTGACGCTCTAATACCGAATATCCCGTTCACTTACAAAGTTTTCTGCAAACATTATGAAAGGGACCTTATCAACCGGTAGTTTGTTTTGGTTGCCAGTGGTTCAATACCATAAGCACTGGTTGAACTAAGTCCACGGGCCTCCAACCCGGGGGTATCCCGAAACCAAGGAAAAAAAATGCAGGAGAGCATATGTTAAAAAGAAATTCCTGGGGGTGAAAGAGAGCCCCACCCATCTACCTCGAACCACTGTTGGTTGTCGGATATTTTTTTGCTATTAATTGTTTATTACCCAGAATATCATGACAATACCATTAATTTTAATTTTAAGAATTTGAACTCTAACTGCTGGAAATGTCACTGTAAACTGTTTGCTGTAGGTTGATACGACTTGTAAATTCTTCTTTGTTACCCGATATTTTTTTCTTTTGATCTTTTGTAAATAACAAGAAATGTTTTAAAAAACCAGACCTGCCTTTAGAATACAGAACACAATTGTTGTATACATTGTAAAGCATTCTTGGTTTGTCCCTTAAGCTTGAATTCTTGCTTAATGAACTTTGTTTGCTTAAAATTTTAAAATCAGACGTACTTTTTAAAATGTACTCATTAAAACGTTCAGTGTTAATTCTATTCTAATACTATTACATATATATTTTATAATATATACCAAGCTAATCGACACATGTATACGCCTTGTAAATATCTTCTTTGTTATAAATGTTTTATTTATATTATAAACCTTGTTTTATGTTCGTTTAATCATACAACCTGACTATCAGATTACCCCCCCCCCCCCCCCCC